GTGTTTAACGGACTAATCACACAGCTCGCCAATCTCAGAGTGAAAATAGAGGAAGAAGATAAAGCTATCTTGTTGTTGAACTCGTTGCCATCTTCGTACGATAATTTGGCAACAACCATCCTGCACGGTAAGACTACCATTGAGTTGAAAGATATCACATCGACTCTTCTACTCAATGAGAAGATGAAAAAGAAGCCTGAAAATCAAGGACATGCTCTCATCACACAAGGTAGAGGCAGGAGTTATCAAATGAGTTCGAGCAACTATGGTAGATCCGGAGCTCGTGGGAAGTTTAAGAACTGATCCAAATCAAGAGCTAGAAATTGATACAATTGTGATCAACCATGTCACTTCAAAAGAGATTGCCCAAATCCAAGGAAGGGCAAAGGTGAAACTAGTGGCCAGAAGAATGACGACAAAACAACCGCCATGGTGCAAAACAATGATAATGTTGTCCTCTTTATAAACGAGAAAGAGGAATGCATGCACTTATCAGGTCCATAGTCGGAATGGGTGGTTGATATAGCAGCATCTTACTATGCCACACCGGTAAGAGATCTTTTTGTAGATATATAGCAGGTGATTTCGGCACTGTGAGAATGGGTAACACAAGTTACTCAAAGATTGCGGGGATCGGTGCCATTTGTATCAAGACAAATGTCAGATGCACATTGGTTCTAAAGGACATGCGACATGTACCTGATTTGCGGATGAACTTGATCTCGGGAATTGCTTTAGACCAAGATGGATACGAGAAATATTTTGCAAATCAAAAGTGGATACTCACCAATGGATCATTGATTGCAAAGGGAGTTGCTCGTGGCACGTTGTACAGGACAAATGCAGAAATATGCCAAGGTGAATTGAATGCGGATGTTACCTCGTGGCACGTTGTACAGGACAAATGCAGAAATATGCCAAGGTGAATTGAATGCGGATGTTACCTCGTGGCACGTTGTACAGGACTAGAAACTCCGATGTTACCTCCTTTAGGTGAATGAGACTGGAGGGAAGATTTGATGGGTCCATCCCATAATTTATGAAAATGTCTTTATTCCTTTGATAAAGACTTCTAAGTCTTTTTTCTAAATTGGCAGCCACCGTTTTTTTTGGAATTGCTCAGATTGAAGAGTTTGAAAACTTCTTTCTTTTGATGTCACTGATGACATCTGTATGGCGTATAGAATCTCTATAAATAGAGAGCTGTCATTTGTAACACACCAACAAAAGAGAGAAAAAAAGAGTGGGGTTTCACAGACAAGGTATAAGAAAGTAGTATGTGAGAAAAATAGAGAGTGGTCGATATTATAGTGAGATGGGAATATCAAAATAGAGTTATTTCTTTTGAGTGTTGTAGTGGTCTTTGGAGTATTTTACTCGGACTTACAAAGTGTAAAATTCCTTGCTATAGTGATATCAGTTGCTCGTCTCGGGGCCGTGGTTTTTCCCTTATTCAAAAGGGCTTTTCACGTAAAAATCTTAGTGTCGTTGTCACTCTTTTATTCTTGTTAATTATCGTATCTCGATATTACGTTATTATTCCGCTTTTATTACTATGAATATTATTTCTGCAGGGGGTTTATTCCCAACAAAAATAACCCAACTATCTAGGCGTGACATTAATAAGAGAAGAACATGTGCAAAAAGTTTGTATGAAATCTTGAAACAAAAAGTTGTGCAAAAAAAAAAAATTAAAGGTACCCAAATGAAATAAGGAGGGGTGTTATGCAAAAAGTAAAATACAAGATAAATTAATTTAGTCCTGTTAGTTCATAATTTGATCGAATTAGCAGACATCAGTGCTATGCAAAAAGAAAAATAAATCGAGATTGATATTATTTTTATTTTTAAACCGACATAATTAATACTTTGGTTCTATTAGGGAGGGTGCTCTGACATAATTAATCAATTTTTGGCTTCTATCCGTTATTCCTTATAGTTCGCGCTATTTTATGCGGTTTTACTATGATGAAATCAATTTTGGTAAAGGAATTTGACTTTACGAGGAATCTCAAATGGCATAATGTCAAATGTCAATGTCATTTGATTTGAAATAAGATGTTCTGGAGTGTTACTCGAATATCATTTGAAAATGAATAAATAAGAGCTCAACTATAGTTTTGATTTATACTTCAAAATTAAAACTGTCTTGGAATATTAGGAATAGGCCACACTCGTCAAAGCCGATAAAGGGCAAGTGGATAGCCATTTAAAATTAACCAATACTTATTTTATCATGACATTTTAAGCTAAAATTTTTAATTTCAGGATACTTTTGTCTCAAAAAACTAAAATTAAGGACTTACGGGCTAATTTCTAAATAGTAGCCCTTTAGAGTAGCTACTTGGTATCATTTCTACAGCCTAAAACGACCTCTAATAGAGAGGCCCTATCAGAAATAAGTAAGTCAGGCCCAATCTTAGACTAAATGGGCCGCTGCTATCTCGGGAGCCGGTAAGCCCCCACTGGGGAACACCAGCCGCTGTGGAAACCCTAGTCGTAATCTATTTAAACCAGACGCCTCCTCCTCCTTTGATAGCTTCAACCGTCTCTGCAGCTCACTGAGATAGTTTCCCCGTTTCCTTCTTCCTTTCATTGTTTTTTTTGTTAGTTCTGTTTGGTTTATTTTGTTTCAATTTTTGTTCTATTGCGTAAAATAGAGGGCGATTGCAATGATGATAACATTTCCCAGCTCATTATGAGATCTTATTTGTTAAGGTCCGGGAATATACTCCGTTTCCAACACATACATCTGAGCTTCGCCCTTCTTTTTTCTTTAGTTTTCTCTTCATTCAAAGTCAAGATTAAATTTTTAACAAATTTCTTTTGTGATTTACAATTTATTTTGTGTTTTTGTGTGTGCTAAATCTGGAAAATTGGGTATTCCCTGTGATGATATAAGATTGTCCATGCTAATTCCGAAATTTGTTTTTGAAGAGAATTTATGTTATGATTATCTGAGGGAGCATTCTTTCATGTCTTTTTCTTTTTTCATTTTTATTATTCTTCACAATCTCAAATTTGGTTTTATTTTATCAACTAGTGGGTGAAGATTCTGGTAGAGCCTAGACATCAAAATTCTATTTTTTGCCAGTCAATACGGATTTTCTAACTAAAGCTAATAACTCCAATGTTTTAAGAAAAACAATGTTTTAAACAACTATACACTAGTATTTAAGAACTTTTTTTCCATACATTCTTCAGAAAAGTTTTACCTTTTTTTGATAAATATGTTGTACCGTCCTCTCCCATAGCCCTTATCGTAGTTCTCATTAGCTCGTCTGTTCTTGAAACATGTTGAGTTACAGTAGGAATTGAATATAAACTCTTACTTACAATATAATCAGTTAAAAATAACATATATCAAAATTTGTTAAGAGAAGCGTGTGGTATTGATATATTGTATAATCGTTATGATCAACAAAATAACCCAATGAAGAAATGGTATCGGACCAGTTACGTACGCAAGGTTTTAATTACAAAAATAGTTTTAAATTTAACCTAGTTTTTAGGAGAGCTAGTTTGGTACCACACAAGTGCACACACAAAAAGTTTAATCTTATCTTTTAGAGTTGTTTTAAAAAATTTGATTTGGGTGAAGTTTAGTTATCTAGCGTTTTGGTCACAGATTTTCAAATTTGTTTTAAAAAATTTGATTTGGGTGAAGTTTGGTTTGAAGAGTGTTTGGACATGATTTTTTAAAATATATTTTATTTTTTATTTGAAAAAATATATAACATGACTTATACTCACAAGTTTTAAAAATTATTACAAATACCCAATAGTATCATTATCACAAATCATAGCTCAGAACATAAATAAGTTTGGTATAAAATTATCATTTTTATAATGAATTATATAAATTATTAATTACAGTGAAATCCCATTAGAGAATTACGGTTCCTAATTAAAAAGAAAAAATTAAATGATATGAGTGTTTAGAAAGCCATTAAGCCTACAAATTAGAAGCAAAAGTAAGATGCACAAATGATTAAGCTGATAAGGGAGCATATTTATTAAATATTTAGTTGGTCGTATTTACATCTATGACTCCAAATAGCATTAAATATTAGGATGGCGTATGTAAAACTAAGCAAATATTTCATTTTGTTATGCTTTTCTATTAAACATTTATAAAATTAAGTCCAAGAATATGTTTAATTCCTCATCTCCTGCCGCCATTTATTCCACATGATCAACTAGATGTATCATGTTTATGAGTGCTTATACCTCTAGAGAAGATCGAACAATGTCATTAAAGGTGAAACACTATTACTACAATGACGCATCATAAATCTAATTCGTTTTTAAAAAAGTATAGAATCTTTCTATCCTTGAGATTTGATATTAAACCGGTCAATAATTACTTAAAAATTGGAGAGCTAGTTCTTATTTTTTTGGTCAAATAGGTGTACGGCCCCTTAAACTTGGTTCCAGTTTTTATTTTGACACATTAATTTAGTTCTTTTCCTATTGAACACTTTAAACACAATGCATGACCGGGTTGTAAAAACTTAAGCGCGTGTTTTTAAATGCTTCCCACGTGGAATAACATACCAATAATAGTCTGACACGTGTTTATTTATCTAGGTCGGATAAAAAACCCCATTTTTACCTTATCCACATACCTCGCCTTACTTAATTGATCTTCCACCCAAAATCCCCTTTCTTTAGCCTAATAAACTACATTGAGACCGATTCCTGGTGGAATCTTCATGATTTTGAGTTAGATTCAACTGTCCGTCAACTATTTGGCCATTATATTACTAATATGATTAATCGTTTGCTTCTTTTGACCGTGGTGGTGAGTGGAGTTGGTCGTGACTGAAGTTGAGGGTCTAGACATATTTGCAGACGAATATATTCTTGTTAATTTTCACCATGGTGGACATATTATCAAGGATCATATCCCGAGATATGTAGGAGAGAGGGGTGAGGATGGTCACATGATAGACAAGGACCACTTTTCTCTTTATGAGCTTTTGTCCTACGCAAAGGATATGGGTTATACTGAGGTAGAGGGTTTTTATTTAATTAATCCTAAATCTAATGACTTTGTCTTGATTGAAAATGATGAACAACTGTATAATATAGTTTGTCACCTTAATCATCTTGATTATATAGATTTGTATATTAAGCATGTAGTTAATTAGCCTGTGTTGCTTGATGAGACTGTCCCATGTGGCCTTTTATGTGGGCCAGAAGTTGTTGAACCAAGTGAAAATACATTAAATAAAGAGGCTAGGGCAACATCTACTGTTTCAGAGGATATAAATATTCAAGAAAGTGCTGCAAATAACACATTTCTGCCCGAAGAAAATCTAGCTGATGTTGGGGTTGCAGGTGAGAATTTACAAGGGGCTGAAGAAACAACAAACATAGATGCTAGTTTGGCATCAGATCTGTCAAGTAGTGAGTCTGAATTAGATAACATTTCTGATGAAGATGATAGTGATGTGAATGAAGAGCTCACTTCATTAAGGCATGAAAGAAGAAAGAAGAAAAAACAGAAGAAACAAAGAAAGAAACCTACTCCAACTGAAGAGATTATTCTGGGAGAAGCTGGAATAGATAAAGGCTTTGAGGATATTGGCAGACCATCTAAGGAGGACAGGTTTGCTGGAAAATTAGGAGGGGATGAAGACTACTACACCAGTTCNGAGACTACTACACGAGTTCTGATATTGGAAGTGATGATAGCACAGATGAGTTAGATGTTTTAGCTGAACGAGGTATTGACTTACCTCCTAGAAGGAGAATTAAAAAGGTAAGGTTTGACCCTAACTATTACCTTGCTATTTTTGAGCTTGGTATGGTATTTGAAAATGCTGTAGAGTTTAGAAAAGCAGTAGCCTCATATGCTGTGGAGAACAAAGTGCAACTAACAATTAGGCCTAATAAAAAGGATAGGGTTAGAGTTAAGTGTAAAGGAGCCAAGTGTAACTGGGAATTGTATGCAAGCAATTATGGAGATTCATGTGACTTTACTGTGAAGAAGTACCATCCAGCTCATAAGTGCAACACCAAAAATAAGAACAAATTATGTACTTCTAAGTACATTGCCAATAAGTATAAAGATAAGATTATTTTCCAGCCAAATATTAAGTTGTGGGAGATTCAGAATTTGGTCAGGGATAAGTTAGGTTTGTATGTTGGAAGGACTGTTTGTTACAGGGCTAAGTGTAGGGTGATAAGTCAATTCATGGGTGACTGGAGGATGGAATTTAACAGACTTGCTGATTATGCTGATATTATTAAGCAAACAAATCCTGGGAGTTCATGCTGNCCAAATATTAAGTTGTGGGAGATTCAGAATTTGGTCAGGGATAAGTTAGGTTTGTATGTTGGAAGGACTGTTTGTTACAGGGCTAAGTGTAGGGTGATAAGTCAATTCATGGGTGACTGGAGGATGGACTGGATCAGAAAAGATAGTGAGACTATTCCTTGCAAGAATCTGTTTGTCTATTTCTATCTATGTTTAGATGCTTTGAAAAGAGGATGGTTAGAAGGGTGCAAAAGGATTATAGGATTTGATGGCTATTTTCTAAAGGGAATCTGCAAGGGTAAGTTACTTGTTGCAGTTGGTAGAAATGGGAACAATCAAATATTTCCTATTGCATGGATTGTAGTTGATCAATAGGCAAAACACTCCTGGAGCTGGTTCATCACATATTTGATTGCAGATTTACAGTTGGGAGATGGTGTTGGCTTAGCTGTTATGTCAAATATGCAAAAAGTAAAGTTACAATCAACTTTTAATTTTTCTTTTTCCTGCTTTATATATACTGTCCACTAACAATTATTACTATTTTTTTTGTAGGGACTAGTACCAACTATAAGGGAATTACTACCAATGGCAGAACACAGAATGTGTGTTAGACACATTTGGTCTAAATGGTTCAAGAACTGGAGAGGTGAAGAAAGGAGGAAACAATTCTGGAGATGTGCCAAAGCATCTTATGAAGTAAAATTCAAGGAAGAACTGGAAGTAATGAATAAGCTTGGTTATAAGATATGTGAAGACTTGTTGAAGTATGATAAAGAGTATTGGTGTAGGGCATACTTTAGAGAAGATTCAAAGTGTGATGTCATTGAGAATAACATGTGTGAAAACTTCAATTCTTGGATAGTAGGTCCTAGGCACAAGTCTGTTATAACTATGTTGGAAGAAATTAGACATAAAATCATGAATAGGACCATTGAAATGGGGAGGTTTGCTGAGACTTGGGTTACTGACATTGCACCAATGGCTAGGATGATACCGGAAGAGAACAAAGCCCTTTCTAGGAGGTGTAAGGTTATGTGGAATGCAGAACATGGGTTTGAAGTTGATGAAGGTGTGTACAGATTTATTGTTGATTATAGAACCATGACATATACTTGTAGATCATGGATGTTGAGGGGCATTCCATGTCAACATGCAGTATGTGCATTCTATGATAGAGAAATGGACCCAATGATTATGTTGCCCACTGGTATAGGAAGGAAACTTTTCTTAAAGCTTACCAGCATTTCATTCAACCAATTCCCAAAATGAAGATGTGGTCGGATTCAACAAATCCATCCATAGAGCCTCCTGAACCTAAACATATGCCAGGTAGACCAAAGAGATGTAGGAGAAAAGCCAAAGATGAACCAAGAAAAAAGTATGGTAAACTATCAAAGAAAGGGGTAAAGATGACTTGTTCAAACTGCCAACAAACAGGACACAACAAATTTGGATGCATGAAAGGGGTAAGTTCTGATATTTGTAATTTTGTCTTTTACATTCTTTTTTTGCAATTCTGATATTCTTTTCTTTTACTTCTGTCAGCATGTTCCAAGAAGTGCTACTCAACAAAGTCAAAATATGCCACCACCTCCACCAAAATCATCTCAGGAAATACCATCTCAACAAAGCAATCCATCCTCTATATGTGAGGATACAAGTGTTGTCAAAAGACAAAGCAACAACCAATCAATTGGGATTGGTAGAGGAAGAGGAAGAGGAAGAGGCCATAGACTATGTAGGGGAAAAGGAAGAGGAACTACACTAGGAGGAGGCTCGGCTAATGAAGCAACCATTGGACATAAAAGGCCAATGCATACTGATTTTGGGATTTTCACTGACACTATGACTGGAACTACTATCCTGAATGTAAGGGTGTATAATTTATTATAATGCAGTTTTGTGGGCTGGAATTATTCTATTTTTTACTAATTCATTGTATTTTACAGCCTGGTATATCAGCTGGGACATTCAAGGATATATCTGCAACTAACATAGACATTGGATTTAAGCTCCCCATATTGAAGTATAAAGGAAGAAATGCAATGACAAGGTCACAACTTCAGCAAATGAGTGCAGCAAGGAAAAAAGGTTCTTCAAGTCAAACAAGTTCAGCTGCATCTACACTGTGAAGCAGACCAATTTTTAGTTATGTTATCTAAGATGTCACTACCAGTTTTTTGTTTGGGCAGTTATGCTCTATTAGAGTTTACTAGTTTGGGCAGTTATATGTTTGGGAAAATAATACTCTATTTTTTGTAATTTGTAGGCCAAAATAATGCTCTATTTTTTAGCTTGGATGTAATGCTAGTCCATCACATTATGCAATGGAATATTTAGGCAGTTATGTTTTCAATTCATGAATATGAATTTGTATTTCATTCATAACACATTATAGAAGTGCAGTTGAACTTAAATTTGCATTAAAAATTGATCATTTCCATTTCATTCATAACAAGATAGTGTACATTAACAAAAGGCCAAATTCCTAGTACCTACTTCCAACATACTACATTTTTCTTGAACTAATAGCAGCAACTACAAAATAATTAGCACCAACATATCATAAAAATACTACATTGTTCTTCAAACCACCAGCATCACCAAAGTCAAATCCATATAAACAGCACCACCACCACAACAAATAACCACTTCAACCGTGCAGCTATTTTCTCAGCTCTTTCGACTCTCTTCAACAGACCCCGTATAACCCTCTTAGCTTGGTCAGGAATTTCATCATCATGCCATCTGAAATATTTGCAGCCACCTCGACCCTACAAAATTCAAAAAGAAATGCGGCCAAAAATAATTAAAAACAGATTTCTTTATTAAGAAATTCAAGGGTCTAACAAAAACAATACGACCGACTTACCAATTTACAACCATAAAATCGGCGACTTGGATTTGCAGATGACCATGATATAGTCAGAGGCGCATTAAATCCACAGTGGCAAATTTCCATTCCATTGCGAGAAGTTGTTGATTTTTGTGATATGGAACTGATAAACGAGAAAGATGAGGAAGATATCAGATCACGATTCAAGCTTGGGCACCTAAGCTTCAATAGAAAGGGAAATGGCGAATTTGCAAGGGAAGAAGACGAAAGAGGAATTAAGGCATTCTTGAGAGAAAAAATAGAAAAATCGGGTGTTTTAAAGTGGGTCTAACGAGTGTGTTTTATTTTTATCATTGGAATATCCACCTAAGCAAATATTAATAACATTCACGCGCTTATCATGTGTGGACATAACGTTCCTTTGGCCGGACATGCGTTGTGTTTAAATGGTATACACCAAAATAGAATTAAAATGTTCAATAGGAAAAGCGCTAAATTAAGGTGTCAAAATAAAAACTGGAGCCAAGTTTAAGAGACCGTCTATATATTTGCCCTATTGTTTTCTTTGATAAGCTAAACTCTGACAACTGTATCGATATGCCGAAATTTAATGCAAATAATCTCCAAAAAATTGGCCAATACATTTCACTTATGCTCAAATAAAAGAAAGAAATAAGCTCAATCATATGAGTAGCAAATGACTAAAAATTTCATTAGTTATTGAGAACATACACGGTTATGAAGTAATACAATTGATACAATTTCTATCACCACTATAAAATAAAATATGGACTTATACTGAAATATTCTTATATCATCTCAGCATTATCTTACTATAGGTACTAAATTTTTTATAAACTTTCTTTTTATTACTCATCACAAAAAGGAGGGAAAAATGAGAAGGCAAAAGAACCTATATTTTCACTTCATAACATTACAAGTACCAAACTGAAGTTTCATAAACTAGATACTCAAAGAAACCAAATAGTTATTTGTTCAGAGTACAAATTCTTCAAGATTGCCACATAGTACATTCTTTAAATCTAGAGATGTTCAGGGAATTGTTACTGCTCAAGACTAATATACATACCTCACTCATCGAACTCCTTTGTACTTCTCTTTGGTGAATAATCAGTCTATACCAAAGTCCAAAAATAAAAATAATTTAGATTTCAACTTACATAGGAGAAGATGTAATCAAACAAAAAATGTCCTTTATGATATAGTAAGCTTAAAATTGTACTTAATCTTGAAACTTCCGGTTAGAAGTTAATCAATTTAAAATTTGAATGCTTGATAAACCAAGTAACATCAATGACTATTCTGTATTATTCTGTTTGCAAGAGCGCCACATGCATGAAATACACCCAGTCTAAGTATTATATTTTTCTTTCTCAAATTTTTAGTTTGTTTTTATTATCAATTTGCAGCATCTCCCTCCCCCCCGATAAGTGCATCAAGTTGTAACATATTACATTCAATTTATAATAATTTATGAACAGAAAAGAATAAAGTTAGACCATGTCACAGTTATCAAATACATTCCACAACAATCATACTAAACCCTCCTTTTTTTGTTTGTCGTCAATCTTAGTACATAGACTCACAGAATATAAAATATCTCATTACAATATTACAATGTGTTGTATAGTTATTGTGTTGTAAGTCACAAATAAAACTTAATAGCAAAGAATAGTACAATTTTATGAAGTACTTAATTCGAAAGTGTAAATAGTATATGCTAGCATTTAAAAAAATTATGCAATCTATGTATCAAATAGAAATAACAGTAAGTAAATAAACAACATCAACCGCTTTTCTAGTGTATTTCAGGAGCGAATAAAGTTAAACTCCCAACTGCTTATTTCAATAAAATGCGTGCAGAGATTTAGGTTTTACCATGTCACAACCCAAACTCTAACCATGATCGTGATGGCGCCTCCCAAAATATTACTACTAAATCGATTATAAGAATTTAATAAAATATTTTAACATTTGAATTTCTCATAAACTAAATCAACTTTAAATATAATTTTTGAAATACGGAAACGAGCCCCAAACATCGGGGTATCACTAAGTTATGAGCGTCTAAATCTATGAACTAAGAAATGAAATTGTCTAACTGTCAATACAATCCAAAAGAAAAAATGATAAAAGGAGTAACAAGGTCCTGCGGACGCTAGCATCTACCTTGCAATATCTACAGATAGCCGGCCTGAACTCAACGATTGCCGTTCTCTAACTCACCTGAATTTGCACATAAAGTACAGGGTGTAGCATGAGTACAACCACCTCAGCAAGTAACAAAAATAACTAAGAAACTGAGCAATAGTGACGAGCTAAGTAAAACAATCTAATTATTTATTTTCACAATTTAAAAATAAACAGAATTAAACAGGTAAATTCCATAACTTAGTAAATGCCACAAGAAAGTTTAACAAATAAATGCAGCAATAACACAAATAAATACAACCTCACAGCAGTGTCACTCTATCACTCATCACTCGTACTCAGCACTCAATACTCAAAACACTCAACACTCTGCGCTCACTGGGGGTGTGTACAGACTTCGGAGGGGCTCCCAAAGCCCAAATGCTAAGCACAGACAACTCACGTGCCATCATATCAATACTTGGATCCGCACGGTCAACTCACTTGCTACGCGGATAACTCACACACTATGGTATCAATACCTGGACCCGCACGATCAACTCACGTGCTACGTGGACAACTCGCGCGCTATGGTATTAATATCCTCATAACCAGGCCCTCGGCCTCACTCAATCGTGTACCTCACTAGCCTCACCATCATCAACAATAAGGGAACACAACCCACATCAAGTATCACCGCGTAATAGCAATTAATAGAGACTGAGATAAGCATGTACAATAATTTTTATGAATGAGTACAAATAATGTGAGCATGAATAAAGCCTAATCATGATCTCTAACATGAAGGCAAACAAGTTCAACAACAAATAAACACGTAACCACAGATAATAGCCATTAGGCCTCATAGCCTCATGGGACGGACCAAGTTTTAATCCCTCGCGGTGCACACCCACACGCTCGTCACCTAGCATGGGTATCACTTTCAAACAATCGCGTGATGTCAAATCTCCGGGTTTATACCCTCAAAGCCAGAGTTTAAACTGTTACTTACCTTAACAGCGTAAAAATCCTATTCCGGGATGCCCTCGTCTTTGGACTCGGTCTCCAAATGCTCTGAATCTATTCACAATTAATTTAATTCAGCTCACAAAAATTATAGGAATTAATTCCATATCAAAATACTAATATTTTCCAAAAATTCGAAATTACGCCCCAAAAATCACCCGTGGGACCCATGTCTTGGAATCCGATAAAACTCACAAAATCCGAACTCCCATCCAACCACGAGTCCAACCATACCAAAATTACTCAAATCCGACCACAACTCAGCCTTCAAATTCTCAATTAAAGTCTGAAGTTTTCTACTATTTTCAACCCAAAACACTAATTTATTGATAAAAACAATAATAGATTCATGTAATTTAACCAAAATCGAGTTAAAATAACTTACCCCGTTGTTTCCTCTGAAAATCACCCAAAATCGCCTCAAATCCGAGCTCCAAATCGTCAAAAACTGAAAATGGGACTAAGTCCCATTTTTAGAACTTAAACTCACTGCCCAAGCTTTTCTTCTTCGCGAACGCAGTCAGTGCCTCGCGTTCACAAAGCACAAAATATCTCCCATCCAAATTCCTCCTTCGCGAACGCGACATCACCCTCGCGTTCGCGAAGCACAAAAATGCCTCTGCCTCAATACCTTCTACGCGAACGCGTTCAACCCCTCGCGAATGCGATGCTTCATTCCCTCTCACTACGCGAACGCAACACCCCCTACGCGAACGCGTAGACCAATTGCCTGGGGTCCTCAGCTGCTACCTCTCTTCTTCGCGAACGTGTAACACCTCTCGCGTTCGCGATGCTCATCTAGTCCACCCTTCGCGAACGCGTGCTTCTCTTCGCGAACACGAAGAGCAAATATTGCCAGCCTCTCAGTTCCACTTCGCGAACACGAGGCTCCACTCGCAAACGCGATGAAGAAAACCAGATGGTGCATCAGAAAAATTTCAGCAGAGTTCCAAGTCCAAAATCCAACCCGATAATCATCTGAAACTCACCCGAGCCCCTCGGGACTTCGACCAAATATACCAACAAGTCCTAAAATATCATACGGATTTAGTCAAATCCTCAAATCACCTCAAACAATGCTAAAACCATGAATTACACCTCAATTCAAGCCTAATGAAC